GAAGAGCNAATGATAGCTAGAAAGAAAGATTTTCTAGGCCTAAAGGCTATATCATATATTGGACATGTTAGGATCATGAACTTCCCTAGGATACATAATGGCCAAGTGAATGAAGAGAAATGAAACAAAGGCAAGTTAAGGGACCTTCCCTGACAGAGTATTTTCTTTAAGTCAAAATACCTGCCTCTGGTAATTTATCATGATAGACTAAGATGCTTTTATCAATCCATTTGCTTTATAGACAATCATTTTTCATCACTTTCATTGTCTATACCCATATATAATGTCAAGATCAGCCTGATTCAACGTAAGACCTAAGGTCAAAATTTAAATGGGATACATCATCCACTATCAAAATAATGCTAAGATGGTTAATTCATCTAACCTTAATTGGATTTTTAACACCAGTATAATGTCAACAAATAATATTCGTGGCCAAAGGCAACAACAACCACAGGAAACCTTATTTGCCTTTATAATGTCACGTTGTTATGTTATGAACCGTGACCTTCCAGTTAAACACAATTGTTATGAAATAAAAATATAACTTAAATATGAAAGGGATGAAATATCTAACCTGTTATAACAATATCTTTAAGATTTTGACCATGAATCAGACTTCCAAACCGAGGCCCATGATGCTCTCTCCCATACCCGTATGAAGGCAACGGAGGCATCAAGGGCCAATACTTCTCATCCTGTCATGCACATAAAAGTATACGGCATCAGAAATAGCTATAGTGATGTGTGCGTGCATGCTAGAGAGAGAGAGATAATCATAAGAGTATGCAACATCAGAAATCATTGTATTGATGTGTGTGTGGAAGAGAGAGGGAGGGGGGGGGAGAGAGAGAATCACCATAGAAGGATAAAATTAGTAAAACCGTGGCAGTATGTGTATTTTGTGAGCAAAAATGATAGATTTTTTCACTGATTTGTTCCACCTCATGAAAGGTTTAGAATAAACTTTACATGGGATATGTGGGTTATATTGCAACTGCTCAAAAGTACAGTATTTAAATGGTCGGATCCTGCACTGCTTAAGTCTTTAAGTCATTTCAAGTAAAATTCTCATCTAAGGTAATACCGTAATAGCTCGAGGCAGTGGGTTAAGCAGTCAGGCATATCATATATAAGTATGTGTATCAAATGTTTTCTAGTTTCAATCCCCTGTGATAAGTTAACACTTCCTACAAATCTGGAAAAGCCATATGCATGGCTCATTCTTCAGAACAAGAATACAGGTTTTTCACAACAACTATCTAAAAGAACAAGATATTCCAGAATACATCTCAAGATAGTCCAGAATACATCTAACATGCATGAATACTATATGCAAGTCAATGCCAATTAAATGAGCAAAAGGAAAGTTTCTGAGGTATGTTGGGTTCATGTTATTCCCGAACTCACTCATAATATAATTAACCGATGATTTAGTCTGGGGTTTAACAGTTAGCATCATGTACGAGCATTATTATGTTGCTACAGGACAAGAAAATCATAATGCTCAAAAGACTTTGCTTGCATAATATTTACTAATCTATAGCAGGATCTCTCCATGTTTTAATTCGAAGTAAAACAAATGGTCGTCGGTCAAATTAAGTTCGAAGCTTGCTAGCACCGCATACTGAAGTTCAAAGCTTACTTTCGTTGAAGAACATCAAACCAGTCCTAGGCATCTCTCAATAAACAGACGTCCTTTTATTATTATCAAATTACAAGTCCTAAATTGCAAGTAAGCCACTCCTGTTCCATTTGTAACAAAAACCAAATGAAATTTACGGGTAATGAACTTTACATGTCCTTGTGACTGAGATTTCCCTTTTGAAACTTAGTAAATTAGATCTTACTCGAATGAAAATATCTCGAAAAAGTAACCACGATCATGATGTAATCACCATTAATTCCAAACTACGCAATACCAAATAAAGAGAACTAAAATACAAATATAAATATGAAAAGCAAATGAAGGATACCAAAAAATCACCTGATTCACAGAAAACAAATAAATTACAGTGGAAAGTTTTCACATTTCGATACGAAATGGATGCAAATTCAAGGCAAGTTTTCACATTTCGAAACGAAAGCAGAAAGTAATACAGATACCAGATTGACCAAAAAACAAAAGATTTACCTGAATTCCAAGTATCTCAGCATCTTCAGCAAGAAACAGAGTCATGTGACTAGTGAGGTTAAACGGCGCCGTTAGCCACCGTCCCGGAGGCACATTGAGCTGCCCACCGCCTTTCTTCCCCAGCTTAGAAATAGCCAGCACCGCTTTCTCAAACGCCTCAGTGTTCAAAGTAACCCCATCGCCCACAGCCCCAAATTCAGTCAAATTGAAAGCCACCGGCCTCAGCTTCGGCATCGCCCTCGCCGGAGCTCGCCTGAATATCGAAAACCCATCTACAATGTTCCTCTGCCACACGAAAACCGAGGCGAAAGCGGCGATCCAGAGCACGGTGAAGAGGGTTTTGTGGGAGGACAAGAAGGTGGGGAAGCACCGCTTCAGGTCAAGCCTCTGGTGGTGGAACCGTCCTAGCGGCAAGGCCTCCAACATGGTCAACACGACTCTGCAACCACCCAAAAGCAGTGATCTTTCTGAGCAATGGGCTACTGGGTTCCGCCGATTCGGCTCAGAAGATCGAGGGGAGGTGGGGATTGGAGGTTGGGGAAATGGGTGAGCTTGATTTTTGAGGACATGGGATTTCTGAGATTTGGTTGTGTTTGGTTGAAGGGAATGGATTGGACCCAATTGGGTGGAGATTGAGAGTGATGGATTTGGTTTGTGAAATGGGCAAGTTTGAGTGCAATTCAAGGGAAGGTTGTTGCTCTCAGCAAACCAGAAAACCATAAAACAAAGTTTGGAACTTTGACAGTGATGCAAGTGACAATTGTACAGTTGATCTCATGGAAAATTTCATGTTGCTTCTGTCAGGTGAGGCCACGTGTGCCAGAAATTCTGAGTACTTATTTAATCAAGCAAAATTTTTTCTTAAATTCGAATCTGATAAAAAACGAATTTGAATCATTTTAGGTTGGATACTCTTATGATTACTGTTTGAAAAAAGCTAAAATTTTACCGTGATGAAATAATATTTTTAAATTCTTAACCGTTCGATCTTGATTTTGTGTTTTTAACAACAAAATTTAACGATTGAAAAGTTCCAAAATCTAATATTCCGGAGCACCATATAAATTCTCTTACTGGAAAAGTACTGTGGTTTAGTTTAGGTCAACAATTAGAACGGAGACAAAAAGTTAGGTTATCTAAAAACGTGTTAGTTAAATAAAGAAATTTTTTGGTCATTCGTATATTTTTATTTTAGGGTTTAGGGTGTAATGTTAAGAAATGTATACATTTTATAGCACGAATGAACTGATATCACTGTTCACCAAAAGAATAAATTTTTAATGACAAAATGACAAGTGTATTATTAATAATATAGTAAACGATAAATTGATATTTCAAAGATCTAAGTTGGCAAAAAAAAAAAAAGACCTAAGAAATATATTAATAAATAAAACACCGTATTATAACATAAGCGAGATTAAGAACACCATATTGCGAGATAATGAGAAATTACTCATTATGTCCAACTGTGTCACATTTAATTTTTCCAAATTCATTGTAATAGATAATCAATCAAACTTGTATGTTAGTTTAAAGTTGAAACATGATTTTCCTCAGTCTCAAAACTCATTATTCTAGCCAGCACAAATCGAATGTCTCTTTTGCTGCAATGCGAAGTCATAACATTGCAGAAATATATACATCAAGAAGTCGACTGGTGGCAGGTTTACAATATTCATATGACTACTCGGTCGCTATGGATGAGCCACACCACCTAACACACTCAACTGGTTAAAGGGTGGGTGTCAAATTCACAATTATATAAACAAAAATCGTTGAGTTGTTGCGTAAGGTTCTTTTTCTGTTGCTCTTTGATCAGAGTATCACAAAATACTTGTGCAGATATTTCTTAGCATGAATATGTGATGTATAATTCACGAAAGTAAAATTTATAAGCTTGGTTGAACGATAAAAGTATGAAACAATGAATTGTCTTCAGTATATTTCATTTCAATATCAAAGCATAGGAATCAATACTATTACAATATTAGTTTTAGGTGTCGGATGATGGTAGCGGTTTACTAAGCCATTATGTCAGAAGATATTCGACACATCATTTAGTTAATGTTGGATAATAACGAAATACTGTCGGTTATATCCGACATAAATTCCTGGCGGATATTTAGTGTCAGATGCAACCGTCATAAAATTATTATAAACACCAGTATTTTTTAATTCTTTTTTTTTTATAAATATTTTTAACATATTCCGGCAATTTTTAAGTCAATGGTGGCGGTTATTATTTTAGTATTATGACAGTTATAACTGTGAGATCCCACATCGTCCGGGAGAGAGAATCCTCTATGCCTTATATGTGCATGCTCACCTCATTTAACACGAGACCTTTTGGGAGCTCTCTAGCTTCGGGTTCCGTAAGAACTCTGAAGTTAAGCGAATTCGTGCGAGAGCAATTCTAAGATGGGTGACCTACTGATAAGTTATTGTGTGAGTTCCCAGAAACAAAACCGTGAGGGCTTCGGGTTCTGTAGAAATTCTTTTCCTTCTCATTGTCCGGCTCTGTCATCAACTTTTCAATCTTCTGCCTCATTTGCTCATCTCTACTCACCTCCCAACCTCTTTCCTGCCCTTCTCACAACACCCCAACCAGATTCATCAAATTCTGCCTCTGCTCTTCCAAGCTCATATTCAATGCCACCAATCACAGCACCATCATTTTCCCTTCAAGTCCTTATATCCCACAAACATTAACACAAAGATCACCCAATATGGCTTCCCCACTCTCAACTCTTTCTACCTCACCCCCAAGTTTCACTCTCCCCACCCACCATGGCTAAAGTTTCCCTTCAATAGCTCATTTGATGATATTGCCCGGCTCACGCACACTCTCACTATTAGCACTCATATAGCCCTCGTCCTTCCAAGCTCTACTTGGTGAACTTAGTTGAGTGACAGCCTGTTTGGGTTAAAACCAAACTATAGGCCCAAAGGTGGAGTCGGCCCAACCGAAGGCCCAGACGAAACTTAGGGGGCAGGAAATGGGCCACTTGCCCACCTACTCAAGGGCCAAGTGTTGTAGGCTGATCAGACTACACAGCCCAATAAAGCACTTTATGGTGGCATTCATGTAAAAAGGCTGATGAGTCATCACCTTTGAACCGCATTCGGGCAAGGTTGTGGCTACAGGAACCCAAGCCAAAGTTGTCTATAAAAGGAAGCAGAGAAGGCAGGATTCAGGACACTCAAACAAACAAACAAATGCAAGCCAAAACTCTGCTCAAAGCCAGATTTGCCTTCCAAACAAAGCTGTAGTCAGCAAAGCCTTCCTCCCATTCGGGACCAGCCTTTATCCCCCGCGGGATACTCTTTTCTTCTAACCTTTGTAATAGCTCTGCTACCTTGTTCAATCTTGTTGGTAGTATCGATTCACTTTTATTATTCTCCCTCTCTCTCCTTAAAGCTTTCAGACCTTTGACAAAGTTGTAAAGATATGGACCTGCAAGAAGATCATCCTTAACTGACAAGGTTTAATCTTGCCCGACCTTCGTGGCTCTGTCTTTGTCTTTTCTTTCTTTAAGAGCCTAGCAATATGTTGTATATTTCCAGTTATATACAAGGTGTTTCTAGCAAATTAATCATGATGAAAAGACATCCTCAATACTTAGATCCGGTTTGAATATATCTTCAGTATTCAAACCAGATCCAAGTTCTAAGCCCGCAGGGCATGTAGATTTGATCAGTTTAAAAGTCCTTGGCCTCAAGGCATAAAAAAAGAACTTTATGTGGACTTAACCCATCCACGACAATCCTTGATAAACGAGAAGTCCGAAGTTACTTGGGGCGCAAGTAATCGACCTATCCCTTAGTTTTGTTTCTACTATATCCTGATTACTATAGAAAGCTTAAGTATGGAGTGAATTCTGATAGAAAGCCTCAAGGCCTACACCTAAGGCCCCACGAAGGCATCTATTTGGATTCACTCTATGCTGCGGTCTAGATAGTCCGAGTACAAGGATGAACTCTAATGGGAAGCCTCAAGGCCTACACCTAAGGCCCCACAAAGGCACCCATTTGTGTTCGTCCTACCTCTCGGACTCGGGTAATCAAAGATATGATAGTGATAAAACTCCAGCAACCATAAAAACCACATATGATGTATCCAAGCACTGGTTTAGTTTGACAGGAAGCCTCAAGGCCTACACCTAAGGCCCCATAAAGGCACCTGTTATATCTAACACGGTTTCTCGGGCATATGCATATGCACAACTAAAACCTAACATCTATTCAACATCTGCCATACTGAAGATGGCAGTGGCACGCCTGAGCACCTACAAAGTTAATCTTGATTGTGAGCCTCAAGGCCTATACCTAAGGCCCCACAAAGGCACCTTTCAAATTAACTCTGTCCTTCTCTTTCAGCACTACCCGACGAGTCTTGCTCGAGGAGTCTTGCCCGATCAAGGCTTGCCCGACGAGACTTGCCCGACTAAGCCCGAGAAGAAAGCAGAAGCCCGACAGAAGCCCTCGACCGGCGCCAATCTCCCAGGGGAGCTGTGTGCTCGTTTGCCAGGAATTCATCATCGACGGATATTCCTGCCCCGAACATAGTTTTGGCACGCCCGGTGGGATAAAGGCTGATCGAAAGATAAATAAAAACATGCCAGATGATTTACAGACCACTTTGTATCAAATGCTGCGAAGGTTGGAGAAAGCCTACACAGGTTCTAAAGGTGACGATGACTGGATTCCTCCCAAAGGGAAAAGACAAAGGACCAGCCAGACAGACGAGATGATCGTAGTTAACCCTGCATTCCCCTTCTCAGAGGCCCCCATAAATCTGCTTAATATGACATGGGCGGAAAAAGGAAAAGGGAAGATTACGAAGGAAGAAGAAGAAGGAAAACTGGCTAAAAGACCTACGGAGCAGATAAGCAAGCTGCCCGAATATCCAAAAAGCTGCCATAATCAAAGGGTTGGTTATGTGTAGTAAATGCCAGTGTGAATGCGAGCTCGAGGTTCCCCCAGCTGGAGTCCTCATTGATCACGAGTTAATCAGGAGGAAAGAAGAATATACCAGAAGAGAAGCCCGCGAAAAGATTAAGCAGGCAACAAGGAAGGATACTTCCCGAAGCGTTTTTCAACGTTTAGAAGGAGATTCCCAACCCAAGTCTTTGTCAGAAGTGTTCCGAAACCATGAAGTTTCTGACGAAGCAGAAAATTTGGAGACCAACCTCCGAAGAAATACAGATTATCTTCAGAATGGCCAAAAGGGGAGGGAAATCAAGAAAGCTGATGGGATAGCTAATCCTGTTAAGAAAACAAATCCTGCACATCTTGGGCGGAAATGGTATATAGTTGGAAAGGACGGGCAGCCCACCAAGCCAATGGGAGCCTCTATGGTCAGAAGGGTTCAAAGGCAGCACAAAGCCTACATGAATTCCCTGAAGACCCCTACCACCTCTGAAACTTCCAAAAATCAAAAGCCGGAGAGACCAACATCTGGAGGTAGTAGCCAGCTGCGTTGGCGAAGTAGGAAGGAGGTGGAGAAGGCCAACAGCAAAACGGAGGGCGTAGGAGATCATGTGCCACCGAGCCAACATCCTGGGAAATATAGGATCTTGAGAAGAGCTCAAGAAGATCTGATTATGGTGCCAACCCCTGGTTGGAAGCCAGAGCCTACCCATGAAGGAACTGTCACACCTGAAAGGAGGCCACCCTCTCTGCCATTGGTGGATCCTTTTGGAGAAGTTCCAAAGCAGGCGTTGTATGAGGGCATGGATCAACCACTACAGGAAGGAATGCTAGAGCCATTACTTCCAGCCGATGCAATGGCCTGGTTAGACGAATTCATGGACCAAATTGGGAGCAAGAAGGAAGATTTGCTCGAACCTAATGACTTCCACATCAACATGACGTATGTATTATCCGCCGCGTTTGGCGCCAGGCCGGATCAGCCCGCTACTATGGAGGGTGATTACTTAACAGCTGAACCCATGATGGCTCACGTTAATGTGGAAGTAGCTGAACAAATAGATTCGGGCAAGGCTGAGCCTTCAGGAGCATCCAGAGGTGGTCCTTTGAGGGTTTACACAGACGAAATGGTGTTCAGTCGCCCGAGTATTTCGTTGGCCAATCATCTGAAGCCTATATACGTTTCAGCTCACCTGGAAGGTGTGCCCTTCAAAAGAATTTTAATTGATGAAGGAGCAGCTGTTAACGTGTTACCAGCCAAACAAATGAGGAGGATGGGGAAAGGCACAGAAGATCTTATTCCCACAGACCTTACGGTCTCGAGCTTTTCAGGTGCTATCACCAGGACTCATGGGATATTGCCTTTGGAGGTGGACTTGGGGTCCAAAAAGATAATGCTGGCATTCTTTGTGGTGGACTGCACCGCCACTTACGGGGCCCTGCTGGGAAGAGATTGGATCCATCAAGGTTTAGCCATACCTTCCACTCTTCATCAACAAGTGGCTGTATATCATGAAGCAGGTGCAGAAGGACCAGGCTTTTGGGAGATAATAGAGGCCGAATCACGGCCATTCCTCCTCTCAGCCAATGTTGCGGAAGCAAGTTTCTACAATCCCAGCGTAGGAAACTTGAAGTGTTCAGGAGCTGATAAGAACGGCCGCCTAACCAAGGTGACGGCCCAAAAGCTTCTAGAACAAGGGATGCTCCTTACCAAGGAGGAGTGGGAAAGACCCTGTCTCATACCAAATTCCCTACACCATCAATGATTGAACAAAAGAAAAGAGATCAGGTCATGGCAGTCAGATCCCTGATTAAAAGACTGCTGGTGTATGGAAAGGGAAGAAGACAGGAAAATGAACTCTTAAATAAGGAAGAGCAGGAATGGCAGGAGAAAGCTTCAACCAGCCAGCAAGGAAACGAAGAAGAATCTTGCAAAGAAGAGTTAGATAGGGCTATTCAAATGGCCGAATGCATCTATGATATAGACGAGCCAGATGATCTGCCCGAGAACCCAGAATTGGTTGAGTTCTTGTGTGCAGAACCTGATAAGCCACCCCCAGAAGTCCAGGATCCTTTGGAAGTTATTGATCTAGGCACGGAGGAGGATCCAAGACCAATTCAGATCAGTGGTTTATTAGGAGTTGAAGATCGGGCCAGGATTATTTGTCTTTTGTAAGAGTTCAAGGACTGTTTTGCTTGGCATTATACCGAGATGCCAGGGTTAGATCCAGCCTTGGTGGAACATAGAATGCCCATCAAGGAAGGATATAAACCAGTCAAGCAAGCACCACGGAGGATGTCAAAGGAGATAGAAGAAAAGGTCAAAGAAGAGATTGAGAGGCTGGTGAAAGCTGGCTTTATCAGACCGGCCAAATACGTGGAATGGTTAGCCAACATTGTACCTGTTTTAAAAGCTATAACTAAAGCAGTACGATGTTGTGTTGATTATAGGAATATTAATAGTGCTACGCCAAAAGATGAATATCCCATGCCCATGGCCGACCTATCCATAGATGCAGTAGCAAAACATAAAGTTTTATCTTTTATGGATGGGAATGCCGGTTACAATCAGATAAAGATGGCACCAGATGACATTCATAAAACAGCTTTTAGGTGTCCCGGTCATGTGGGGGCATATGAGTATCTAGTCATGCCATTTGGGCTCAAGAATGCTGGCGCGACCTATCAAAGGGCAATGAATGCTATTTTTCATGATCTAATTGGCCAGAGCATGGAAGTGTATATTGATGACATCGTGGTGAAGTCTAAAACATAAGAGCAACATCTAGTAGACCTCAGACGAGCGTTGATGAGGATGCGGATCCACAAATTAAAGATGAATCCAAAGAAGTGCGCATTTTGGAGTGAGAGCGGGCAACTTCTTGGGATTCTTGGTGCATCAGAGAGGTGTAGAAGTGGACAAAAACAAGTCTCGGGCAATATTGGAGTCACCTCCACCCATTAACAAAGTACAGCTTCAGAGGCTACTAGGCAAAATCAACTTCTTGAGGAGGTTCATTGCTAATTTAGCGGGCAAAATCCAGCCGTTGACTCCTCTATTAAGGTTGAAGGACAAAGAGAATTTTGAGTGGGGGCCGACCCACCAACAGGCATTTGACAGCATCAAAACCTACCTAACGTCTCCACCAGTGTTGGTACCACCTCAAAGGGGAAATCCCTTGAAGCTGTATATTTCTGCTTCGGAAAAATCAATCGGGAGTTTGCTAGCCCAGAATAATGAAGGTGGAAAGGAGCAGGCTGTATATTATCTCAGCAGAATTCTAACCGAGGTAGAGACAAGATATTCTCCGGTGGAGAGATTGTGTTTAGCTCTATACTTTACTGCCAACAAGCTAAGACATTACATGCTACATTGTCACGTGCACATCATCGCCAAAACGGATGTGATAAAATACATGTTGTCAAAGCCTATGCTAGCAGGAAGGATCGGGACGTGGATTTTGGCACTGTCAGAATTCAGTTTTCAATATGTCCCTCAAAGGGCAATCAAAGGCCAGGCAATTGCTGACTTCCTGACTGAGTATCAAGAACCTCAAAATGAGGTAATCAACATCCCGGGAAGTCTGGAGGTTACTAGTGTTTGGATCCCATCGAGAAGTGATGTTTCGGGCGAAGAAGACTGGATCCAGCAAGAAATAAGAAGAGTAACTGGCCTCTGAATCACACCTTGGAAGCTGTATTTTGATGGATCCCACACTCAGAAGGCAGCAAGAGCTGGGATTGTGATTATTAATCCCCAAGGGGTTAATCATTACTACTCATTTCTGCTCGATTACCAGGGAAATACTAATAATCGGGCAGAGTATGAGGCTCTGATTATTGGTCTGGAAATCCTAATAGATTTGGGAGCAACTGAGGTGGAGATCTTTGGTGATTCAGAATTAGTAATAAACCAGCTGAATGGCGAGTTTAAATGCAGACATATCACCATGGCGGGGTACTATATGGCAGCGACGCAATTATTAAGTTTCTGGGAGTCGGAGATATCGGTCAATCACGTTCCTAGGGGATCTAACTTAGCAGCCAATGAGATGGCACAACTAGCTTCAGGAGTGCCAATACATGAAAGGAAGTATGGTGTGGATGTCGAGATCCAAACAAGAAACCTTCCTTCTATCTTAGACAGGGGATTCAGTCTGGACGTAATGGTTCTAGAAACCAAGGTAGAAGATTGGAGGTCACTTATCATTCATCATTTGAAGGATCCTTATTCACCCACAAGTAAGAAGAATAGGCAGCAAGCAACCAAGTATGTCTTGTGGGCGAAGAATTTGCTGAGGAAAACTCCAGATGGGTTATTGTTAAAATGCCTAGGCCAAGAAGAATCCATGAGAGTGATGGCCGAAGTACATGAGGGGATATGTGGAGCACATCAGGCAGGTACCAAGATGAGATGGCTGCTCAGAAGGTATGGTTATTTCTGGCCCGACATGGAAAAAGATTGCAAATCCTATGCCTGCGGTTGTGAAGAATGTCAGAGGCATGGACCTCTCCAGCACGTGCCTTCGGTGCCTTTGAATCCAGTGGTCAAACCTTGGCCGTTCCGAGGATGGGCAATGGACTTCATCGGGCAAATCTATCCAGCCTCCAGTAAAGGGCATACTTTTATAATTGTAGCAACGGATTACTTCACCAAGTGGGTGGAAGCATCAGCAGTGAAATCCATAACTTCAGCAGTGGTCAAGAATTTTATCGAGACCAAGATCCTGCATAGGTATGGGGTGTCTGAAACTATAGTAACAGATCGTGGGCCATCTTTTGTTTCAAAGGAGGTCGAGGAATTTGCAAGCAAGTACAAGATAAAGATAATCCAGTCCAGTCCATACTATCCTCAGTCAAATGGGCAGACAGAGGCTAGCAACAAAATCCTGGTCAACATTATCAAAAGGATGGTAATGGACAGTCCAGAGAAGTGGCACGAGATGCTGGGAAATACGTTGTGGGCATACAGGACTTCTAGAAGAGCGGGGATAGGCACAACTCCTTATGTCTTAACTTTCGGGTAAGATGCAGTACTTCCCATGGAGATCAACGTTAGTTCCGTAAGAATTCAAAACCAATTTGGGTTACATAGTGCGAAATATATCGAAGCCATGTGTCAAGGCTTAGAGGACTTGGATGCAGCCCGAATTGAAGCCTTGAACCAAATTCAAGAGGGAAAAATAGCTGTTGCCCGAGCCTATAATAAGAAGGTAAGAATAAAATCGTTCAAGGAAGGAGATTTAGTGTGGAAAACAATCCTCCCGCTGGGGGCTCAACTTCGAGGCTTTGGGAAGTGGAGCCCGACATGGGAAGGTCCTTTCATTATTAGTCAGGTCTTGACTAAGGGAGGATACTATCTAGCAGACCTCGAAGGCAATAAGCAGAAACACCCCATTAATGTGAAATTCTTGAAAAAATATTGTCCTACATTATGGGATGTTAGGGATTGCTATATTGACGAGGGGGCAGAATAAGGCGAACTTCAGAAGTTTCATATGCAGTATTTTGTTCGTCAAGCATTCAAAAAGGGGGCAGAAAGACAGAAATTGATAGAAGTATTTATTTCATGTCGACAAATTGGTGAAATTACAAGATTCAAAGCCTATGTATTACATTTGATCCTCTTTGAAAGTGGTGGTATCTTCAGCTGGTTTCCCGATGTCTTCATGGATGGAACCCGATCAGGTGATTGGGTTGTGCGGCCAACATGCGCCTGGTAAAAGACCCTCCAACGAGACCGTCACCATATATGATGGTGAAGCCCGATTTATCACCACAGATTGCGAGAGGATAAACCATCAGGAGGAGACCGCCCGACCAGGGGTGTTGGAGATAGAAGGGTGATCGACCAAGGGTGTTGGAGATAGCAGTTATCAGGAGAAGTTTTTTTTCTTCTCGCGAAAATGAAGCTTTAGAAATAGCCACTCAAAAACTGGAAAACCCATGTCTCAGAGGAGGCAAGAATGCTCAAGATGGGTTGAAGTCGAAGGCCAGAATGAAGAGGATTTGCTGGTGGGGTAGAAGGATTTCCATAGCCGGAATTTATAGAAAACCAGAGGGTAGTTTGGAGGTCGTGATAAGCTCAAGGGGCACGCATGCTGATATTCAATCAATGTTGGCGTTTGGGATCCCCACCTTAACATTAATTGAAGGGGGCACTGTTTGGGTTAAAACCGAACTATAGGCCCAAAGGTGGAGTCGGCCCAACCGAAGGCCCAGACGAAACTTAGGGGGCAGGAAAGGGGCCACTTGCCCACCTACTCAAGGGCCAAGTGGTGTAGGCTGATCAGACTACACAGCCCAATAAAGCACTTTATGGTGGCATTCATGTAAAAAGGCTGATGAGTCATCACATTTGAATCGCATTCGGGCAAGGTTGTGGCTACAGGAACCCAAGCCAAAGTTGTCTATAAAAGGAAGCAGAGAAGGCAGGATTCAGGACACTCAAACAAACAAACAAATGCAAGCCAAAACTCTGCTCAAAGCCAGATTTGCCTTCCAAACAAAGCTGTAGTCAGCAAAGCCTTCCTCCCATTCGGGACCAGCCTTTATCCCCCGCGGGATACTCTTTTCTTCTAACCTTTGTAATAGCTCTGCTACCTTGTTCAATCTTGTTGGTAGTATCGATTCACTTTTATTATTCTCCCTCTCTCTCCTTAAAGCTTTCAGACCTTTGACAAAGCTGTAAAGATATGGACCTGCAAGAAGATCAGCCTTAACTGACAAGGTTTAATCTTGCCCGACCTTCGTGGCTCTGTCTTTGTCTTTTCTTTCTTTAAGAGCCTAGCAATATGTTGTATATTTCCAGTTATATACAAGGTGTTTCTAGCAAATTAATCATGATGAAAAGACGTCCTCAATACTTAGATCCAGTTTGAATATATCTTCAGTATTCAAACCAGATCCAAGTTCTAAGCCCGCAGGGCATGTAGATTTGATCAGTTTAAAAGTCCTTGGCCTCAAGGCATAAAAAAAGAACTTTATGTGGACTTAACCCATCCACGACAATCCTTGATAAACGAGAAGTCCGAAGTTACTTGGGGCGCAAGTAATCGACCTATCCCTTAGTTTTGTTTCTACTATATCCTGATTACTATAGAAAGCTTAAGTATGAAGTGAATTCTGATAGAAAGCCTCAAGGCCTACACCTAAGGCCCCACGAAGGCATCTATTTGGATTCACTCTATGCTGCGGTCTAGATAGTCCGAGTACAAGGATGAACTCTAATGGGAAGCCTCAAGGCCTACACCTAAGGCCCCACAAAGGCACCCATTTGTGTTCGTCCTACCTCTCGGACTCGGGTAATCAAAGGTATGATAGTGATAAAACTCCAGCAACCATAAAAACCACATATGATGTATCCAAGCACTGGTTTAGTTTGACAGGAAGCCTCAAGGCCTACACCTAAGGCCCCACAAAGGCACCTGTTATATCTAACACGGTTTCTCGGGCATATGCATATGCACAACTAAAACCTAACATCTATTCAACATCTGCCATACTGAAGATGGCAGTGGCACGCCTGAGCACCTACAAAGTTAATCTTGATTGTGAGCCTCAAGGCCTATACCTAAGGCCCCACAAAGGCACCTTTCAAATTAACTTTGTCCTTCTCTTTCAGCACTACCCGAGGAGTCTTGCCCGAGGAGTCTTGCCCGATCAAGGCTTGCCCGACGAGACTTGCCCGACTAAGCCCGAGAAGAAAGCAGAAGCCCGACAGAAGCCCTCGACCGGCGCCAATCTCCCAGGGGAGCTGTGTGCTCGTTTGCCAGGAATTCATCCTCGACGGATATTCCTGCCCCGAACACAGGCAGTTCCCCCACCAAATCTTACCATTTTCACAATTGAATCGCTAAATGACTCGGTAAAAATAAACAAATTGATGCAAGAAGATTGAGTTGGAAAAACCGGGTCGATATCAAACTCATCCTCATTGAATTTCCCCTGCTAATTCTCATATCCCTAGTCATCTGCATCACCAACTCCCTTTCATCATCTTGTTTTTCCTCTTGAACCTATCTTCAACGCTCGCAAACCCAGAAGCACATTCATCATCAAAGAATCTCCTCCCTTGCAGTTCTTGAAAAAATAGTGCCTTAGCAGCCTCTCTGCAATAGGTCTCTTCCCCTGGTCTTGATCGAGGCAAGATCCCACCAAGTCTTTGAAAGCCTTAGAGAGCTTCTTGTTCTTGAAAGCTTTGTTCTGGGTTTCGTAATCTGAAAGCCAGAACCTTTTAGTTATCTTCAGAAGCAGAGACTTTGATGGCAGAATGTTAGACAGCGGAAGGCCGCCACGAGCCAATTCCAGTGCCGTGATCCCAAAAGACCAAATATCCCCATTGTTTTCATTCCCATTGTGCGAATATATCACCAAAAGACCAAATATCCGAATTGGCCTCGTAAACAGAAGCAGAGACCTCGAAACCGATGAGCTAAACAGACCCATCAGAATTAATCAATATATTTTCATTCTTGATGTCTTTGTGGAGGTGGCCCTGATTGTAAAGATACGACATGGCGTTTAACGTCTTTTTGAGAATGATAGCAATGCAGGGCTCTGGCAATCTTTCTGCTAAAGTAGAGAAGATTATGGATTGCAGTGAACTAGTGGACATGAACGGCTTAACCATCCAAAGACAGTGGTTGATGGTGAATGATCAATGCATAGAAATAATTTTGGGGTGGGAAAGAAGAAATAGAGTCTTAGTGCAAGCAAAATAGGCCTATGATTGGTCAAGATGGACTTAATGATGACGATAGTAGAATTCATGGCAGTGGAGACGGCCTTGTGGACGACAAAGCTGCTTCCGTATCCAATTTCAGCAATGATTTAGTAGGAGGCAGGGTCTAACAGAAATTGGACCTTTTTGGTTTCTGGGTTTTCTTGGTTGGAAGAGGAGGAAGTCGCCATTTGAGGCGAAAATAATGAAATCTTAAAGGATCGAAAATGAGTTTTTGGGATTTCTGGGAAGTGGGTTTTGATGGAGAACATGAATGTATTCTGAGGGAGAAAGAAAAGTTGGGTTTTAAGTAGTAATCTTGTGAAAGGTTTAATGGTGAGTGTATCTTTGGGATGATGCATGTAAGTGTCTACTGCTATCTTCTTTTTTGGAGCTTTCCTACTGCAGTTGGGGGTGAAATTATCATATCAAATCGCCCTATGATTAGGTTACTTAAATATAATCTTGATTCTGTTATTATAGGGGTTTATGGTAATTAGGATTGGTTAGTTTAGTAGTTTGCCATCTCAACATTTTCTTGGGAACAAAGGCAATTGACAATCTTAACAATTTTCTTCTTCTAAAAAACAATCTTGCCTTTTATTTTGTGATGCAAATCTTTGAGTGTTGGATACTAAGGCATCAAGAGTGGAGTCTTAGCGTCATTGGGTGAGTTGATTAAAGTTGTGATTAAATTTTGTGTCACCCATATTCTAAGTTCGATCTCATATATTTTTCAGTAGTAAAAAAGAAGTACAACTAGAAAAGTGATTAGTTGTAAAAAGTATTACTATGAATCCGTGGCAGATGCACATTGGAACCAAGGTGGTCATAAGACCACCTAGAGTCCTGAAAATACACATGTGAAGGTCTTTCGAGAACTATTCGAATGCTTGGTATAAGTCCCTTTTGTGCCCAACAAGTGTTTGAAGTAATGCATTCTAGGCATATTTAGGCAGCCCTCAGCAGGTTGGGTCGAGAGCACTCGACAAATTCTCTTGATAGCACTCATCAGATTGCTTTGGCATATGTTGATATTTGTTAACATGTGCACAAAATGGTTCGGTTGACGACAATTGTTCAATGAAATACCTTGATGAATAGACTGAATTTTTTTTTTTTGCGTGCTTCGAGCTCTATTTTGGGTCGAGAGCACTTGACAAATTCTCTTGATAGCACTCATCAGATTGCTTTGGCATATGTTGATATTTGTTGACATGTGTACAAAATGGTTCTGCTGACGACAATTGTTTAACAAAATACCTTAATGAATAGACTGATTTTTTTTTTTGCGTGCTTCGAGCTCTATTTCTAATAAACGATTTAGATCTTTAACACTGCGACCACCAATCTTCGAATCTTGGATCTGCAACTGTTATGATTTAAACATCAAGAGAGGTAATGCATACTAGATTATGAAGACAATGACTGAACTTAAACACATTAACTTTTCTTTCTATATCTAGCGTTCAACTTGTTTAAGAAACAAGCCAAGCTTGACTTAGACATGCACAACTCGTAAAGCATGTGAGTAGCTCGTTAATAAGAAGCTTGATGAAAATGTTATTGAAGAAGACCATCTCAATGTTGTAAATTAGCTTGTGTTTGACTTTTCTTTTTACTCCTCTTGAGATCGACAAAAAAATAAACGAGCCAACCAAGTTGAGCTCTTATAAAATTGTAACAAAGCCAACTTAAACATGATGAAATTCGCAACATTTATAGCCCTAGTTAAATTTGGAGAGGTGATTTCACATACCTTTTTTATTTTTTCACACACTCACTTTATTTATGATCGTTGTTGATGCACAAAACCGGAGGGGTCTTGGAACAACGTAAATTCGATCGTGAATCTGCAAGAATTGTAAATAACACAAGATGTATCGTGGTTCACCCCAATGTTTGGACTACATCCACACTGATATTGTATTTCTCTGAGAGAATTGTGAGGAAGAGAGCATCTGTAATGTGAGAGTGAGGCTTTGAGAGGGTGAGAGGGCTTGCTCTGAATATGAGAGCTTAGGGGAGAATTGGCCTCTCTTAATGAGGAGAGTGAGGGGTCATTTTATAGAATAAAGGCTCCTCACTTATTACATATTTGCCCCTCAATTTATTGCATAATTACATTTGAGTCCCCCGAGTATTTATACAAGATCTAAATACGGAGGCCCTAAGTATGGTACAAACAGTAGTCCTCCAAATCTTCAGTCAAGAGAGTCTTTTGGCTAAAGACTTGAAATTCAATCCATGTGTGGGTCGAAGTAACTAGATGTTGTCTTGAACTGATACTCGATATGAGGCGGTGCTCAATTTGAAATAATGCTCAACTAGAAGTAGCACATGTTGCGAGGTTGCTCAGTTTGTGGTTTATGTTGCCTTGGTTGGCTCGGCTTGTGGCGTTGAATGTGAGGGAGTCCCTTTTATAGAATAAATGCTCGCTCCTCAATACATAAGTGATGGGTTAGGAGTGATGCTCGCGGCGAGGCGGTTGCTCAACAGCCGGTGATGCTCTCTAATGATGGTGAGGGAGTCCCTTTTATAGAATAAGGGCTCGTTCCTCAATACATAAATGATGGGCTAGAGTTGATGCTCGTGGCGAGATGGTTGCTCAGCAGGTGGTGATGCTCTATAATGAAGGTGAGAGAGTTTTTTTTATAAAATAAGGGATCGCTCCTCAATACATAAGTGATTGGTTAGGAGTGATGCTCGCTAATGAAAGTGAGGGAGTCCCTTTTATAGAATAAGGGTTCGCTCATCAGTACATAAATAATGGGCTAGAGTCCCCCAAGTATTTTTCATGAGGCCCAGTTGAGGCCCAATATATGATACATAATGTAGTCCCCCAAGTCTTCGGTCAATAGAGTATGTTTGGCTAGAGACTTCAAATTGAATCCATGTATGGGCCGAAATGACGGTTGTTCGGAGGCAGTATTTGTATACCCTGCACTGAAGCTTTGTAGGTGAAGCTTTGCAAGTGAAGCTTTTGAAGCTGGAGCTTTGTAAATGAAGTTTTTGAAGCTGGAGCTCTGTAAATGAAGCTTTTGAAGCTGATTGACATGAGTGATGCTCATGAATGTTTATGTTGATTGACATGAGTGATGCTCATGAATGTTTATGTTAATTGACATAAGTGATGCTCATGGACGTTGACATGAGTGATACTCATGGATGTTGACATAAATGATGGTCATGAATGTTTATGTATGACTGACATGAGTGATGCTCATGAATGTTTATGTATGATTGACATGAGTGATGCTCATGTATAATTTTGGAGTACTGGACGTACTTTTGATCACCTGGTTGGTGATAATAGCGGCAGGCTGCCGAATAATTTTGGAGTACTGGACGTACTTTTGATCACATGGTTGGTGATAATAGCGGCAAGCTGCCGAATAATTTTGGAGTACTGGGCGTACTTTTGATCACCTGGTTGGTGATAATAGCGGTAGGCTGCCGAATAGTTTTGAAGTACTGGGCATATTTTTTATCACTCGGTTGGTGGTAATAGCGGCAGGCTGCCGAATAATTTTTTGTAGTATTGGACGTACTTTTAATCACCTGGTTGGTGATAATAGAGGGTCTGACTCTTTTGGGCATATGGGCCTTCGCTTTCCACATAACATTCCAGCCTATTACTTTAGGCTGGCCATTTTTTTTTTGTTTTACTTTTTGATGGGGTTATACAGATATCTGTGAGAGATAAGAAAAATAAATTACATCATTCAAAACAAAGGTTTCGACATAAAAGCTTCGACAGTTGCAGATCGTTGGTGTGTACTGCACTTACTGCGTACTGGGTTGTTGCAGATCTTTTTCCATGTGCATATTGCGGTGGCTTCTTCAGAAAAATGGGAACATGCATGATGAAAGTTTTCTTTTTCAAAAGTTGATGGCATCTTCTACGCTGTCATCGTGCCAAGTTGACTCCCTTAATCAATAAAAAGCTTGGCCTGCTGTGCATTAATTGCTTATTTTCTTGTAGTTTTTTCAGAAAAGTGGGAAAAGTTGGTGGGGATCAAGGCAGTCAAGTGCAACCATCCTTCATTAGGATAGTCCTTTCTTATAGCTTCCGCAATTTGCAAAAGATGCTCGATCTGGGGCTCATCCAAGTCGGGATCACTCTCATCCACAACTTGGTTGAGATGTTCACAACATTCCCATATGCTCATTTCCACCTTATCCAGTTTTCCATATTCTTCCCTCATCCGCTTCACAAAGTTGACGCTCTGGTAAATGTGATTGATTATGTAGAACTCCTCGACCCCATCTCACCTCTCGCTGCTAACATCATAATCCCTAAAAGTGTGGCCGAATGCATTCGTCGGAGGCTCCACAATCCACCATCCAACACCAACTCATTTTTCTCGCCAGATTCAAAGACTTTCTCCTCCGTCTCAACCACTCCAAAGTCGGGCTGCTGAACAATGATGGTTATCCTGCGGGGTTGACGAACAATCTAAAGGATCGATTGGGGAGAAACGTCAGAGGCAGCGGCGATTGCAATAGCATGGTGAAGGTGTGGGGGGAAATGTGAAAGTATTTATAGTTAGCCGGAGAGTCTTTCCTTGAGAATTCCCAGTAACCGAGTCATTCCCTGACAATTCCCGCTCACCGAGTCCTTCACTGAAAATATTTTCGAGAATAGAGATCTGCGTTTTTCCATGAAGCTGACAGGTCGAGAGGTGTAGCCACAAGCAATGAAGTCAAAGGTTTCTCCTATGAAAGGCTAACCTGACTTTCATTTTGGAACTTGACCCTTTTGATTTTCCTTCCCATTCTTGTTCTGGTCCTTCTTGAATCCTCCAGTGCTAGAGGTGCACACATCATTAACGCTGATTTCAAGCACTATTTGGAGTGGTGGAGGCACTCGAGATAGTCTTCGCGGAGGAGGACGCAGTCATTGGGCTCACGGCAGCGAGACATGCACTCGTTGAAGTCCACCCAGAAATCGTAGCACCGCCCTTTGTTGCCGGTGATTCCCCACCTCGATGCCATTTTATTCTCTTGCGCGGTGGATGATTGAGTCGAATCAGTTGTATCGACGGTCGGTGGAGGTTAAAAGTTTATCAGCGATTGCGATGGTTGGTTCACTCTAGCTGCTGACTGTTGCTCTGAGCAAAAGAAATGAAGGGACGAGATCGCTTCGAGAGAGCTTGCAGAAGCCATAGATGGCAGATGAGATGGAGTCCGGTCTAAGTAAGAGAAAGTGGATAAGAAAGTAAGTGGAAAAGCACTGGCAGTGAAGAGGACAAATTAGAATATTGGTGTGGTGTTTGGTTTTCTTGGGTTTTTTGCAGATTTTGCAGATCCACGACGGAGGTAAAAAATGAAAGAGAACCGACACAGTTTTTCGTGTCGTTTCCCACAGAAGGCGCCAAATGTTGATGCACAAAACCGGAGGGGTCTTGGAACAACGTAAATCCGACTGTGAATCTACAAAAATTGTAAATAACACAAGATGTATCGTGGTTCACCCCAATGTTTGGGCTACGTCCACACTGGTATTATATTTCTCTGAGAGGATTGTGAGGGAGAGAGCCTCTGTAATGTGAGAGTGAGGCTTTGAGAGAGTGAGAGGGCTTGCTCTGAATATGAGAGTTTAGGAGATCTCAGGCCTAAGAATTGGCTTCTCTTAATGGGGAGAGTGAAGGGTCATTTTATAGAATAAGGGCTCCTCACTTATTACATATTTGCCCATCCATTTATTGCATAATTACATTTGAGTCCCTCGAGTATTTATACGAGATCTAAATACGGAGGCCCTAAGTATGGTACAAACAATCGTCAAATTGTATAAATTAAAAAAAAAAAAGCAAATAAGAATAAGGGTAAAAGACTGTTTACTATTCTCATGTTTCGTGGTTTTCAACATTTAGTACATCACGTTTTTTTCGTCCCAGAGTCATACCTAAAGTATTAATTTTGGGACAGTCTTATACATCTGTTAGTTAAACTATTAATTCTCCCGTTAAGTGATGACGTGGTGCCCATGTAGACAATGATTGAGCGCCACGTGTCATTAAAATATTAAAATAATTAATTTAAAAAAAAAACCATCCCTCCCCCCCCCCGCCGCCCCGCCCCCAACCCAGAAGAAGGAGGAAGAACAAAAAAAACAAAAAACAAAATACGAATCTGCAACCCAGAAGAAGAAGAAGAAGAAGAAGAAGAAGAAGAAGAAGGAAGAAGGAGGAAGAAGAAGAAGAAGGGAAAAAAAACAAAAAATGAATCTGCAACCCAGAAGAAGAAGGAGGAAGAAGAAGAATAAGAAGAAGAAGAAGAAGGAAAAAAAAAACCAAAAAGCCGAATTTGCAACCCAGAAGAAGAAGAGGAAGAAGAAGAAGGAAAAAAAACAAAAAACAAAAACCGAATCTTCAACCCAGAAGAAGAAGGAAGAGGAAGAAGAAGGAGGAAGAAGAAGAAGAAGTAGGAAAAAAAAAAACCAAAAAGCCGAATCTGCAACCTAGAAGAGGAAGAAGAAGGAGGAGGAAGAAGAAGAAGGAAAAAAAAAAGAGGAGGAAGAAAAAGAAGAGGGAAGAAGAAGAAGAAGAAGGAAAGAAAAAAAAAAATCTGCAACCCAGAAAAAAGGAGGAGGAAGAAAAGGAAGGAGGAAGGAGGAAGAAGAAAAAGAAGAAGAAGAAGGAGGAAAAAAAAAATTGAATCTGCAACCCAAAGGAAGAAGAAGAAGGGAGGGAGAGGGTGAGGGTGAGGGTGCGGGGAAGATGAAGGGTTTTTTTTTAATTTTTTAATTTTTAATTTTTTAATATATATATATATATATATTAATTATATATATATATTTATTTATTTATTTTATAAATAATTTATTTTTAATTTCCATGTGGATGACACATGGCGTTCAGTCATTGTCCACATGAGCGCCACGTCACAATTAACAGGAGACTTAACAGTTTGACTAACTGATGTATGAGACTGTCCCAAAATTTACATTTTAGGTATGACTCTGGAATGAAAAAAACTTGATGTACTAAATTTTGAAAATCACGAAATATGAGAGTAATAAACAATTTTTTACCCTAAGAATAAAAATATAAGTGTGAAAGAAGCTAAAAAGAGTGTTTGATTATTCTTTCTTTAAACTCACTAGGGCATCATGGTGATTTGGAAAAAGTAGCTCAACACGAGAGGTCCAGAAATATTGTGGACTTGGACTATGGAGGTACATGTTCTTACTTATTAATGTTGCAGCCGAAACTTATTGGGCTTAGTTTATGGAAACTTTGCTTTGATCACTATCAAAGAATTTAATGGTGCATTTCTTTCTTCTAAATTATGGCTCCACTTGTGCATTCCTATTCTTTTGGAGGGTGAATTAGTAGAATTTTTTTTTAACAACAATATTATTTACATTAAAGGAGAATGGGTGGGTTTATTCTTACAATGAGCTAGCAATAATTTCATTTAAATTCGCATTTGACGAAAATTGAATTGAAGATCTCTCACTTACAAGTAAAGAAGAATACCACTAGACCGTAATATTATGTAGCAAGTAGTAGAATTCTTAGACAAGAAAAATAAAGAGTACATCTTTTAGACACCCCTATATTTAATAGTAAAAAGATATGTATATAATGGATACATATATAGGCCAAGTCCTTGCTACATGAAAATAATAGAACCAAAAAAATAGAAAATGAGGGAAACTAAGGCAGATACTAGGGTAACAGATAGTGGAATGCTTCCCTTGTCCTTCCTTATAAGCATTCCTTCAATGATAGGGTAGTTCATTACTATGACATAGAAGGATATGAAAACTTGTATGAACATCTTGTCCAACTCCCCCACAAAGATCCCTCTAGCAATCCCCACAGCAAACGATGCCATGTTCAAGATGACTAGGGCAACCATTGGAGCAAGAAATAGTAGTGATGTTTGGAAATCAAATACTCCCATATTGTAACGCTTGAGTTGTTCGACGTTGTCGACTTTATTCGTTGGAAAAAAACTGGCTTCTCTCATACCAAGTTTCTTCATGAAAAGCATCCACACTACCATATAAATGGGATGTGACTGACTTCATCATCCATATCCTCTGCTCATTTACCCAATGTCGAAATGTTAACCCCGTTGCGAGCACCTCGTATAAATGTTTAGAATGGGATGATAGGAATATGAACGAAAATACAATGAAATAAGTATTTGAGACCTGCAAAGAACAAGACCGTCATACTATCATGTCAAAATCCTTCTACTAAAGTTGTTTAACAACTAATTAAGAGGGTAATGCTTTCTTATATACTATACAAATACTTATATCAACAGACTGTGAGCTTAAATTTTTAACCACACGTGTTCATAATCAACCATAGTAAATGGTTCAGTTTCAATCTTAAGATCATAAAGCAAGTGGACATTTCCCTCGATAGTGGAAGTAATTATATATTTTGAATCATTTATACAAAAGAATTTTTAAAGAAACTTGTAAAAAAATATAGGTATAATGAGAGAAAATTACCTGAGGGTATAAAGGAATGCCATTGAGTAGGCAGAGTTGAGGAATGGTAGCAAAGCCCCAGAGCGACAAGAAATAGAAAATGGGGAAAAGGGCAAGTTCTGCATAACACATGCTGTGAAGAAAATTGCGCGTTTTGAAAGGGCCATATATAAGAGGACTAAACTTGGAGATAGCAACATCAACCAAGCCAGAGGACCATCTTGTCCCTTGGACCAAAAAATCATCCAAATTGGTGGTGCCACTGCCCAAGAATTGTGGCCTTTTTGGATCAAAATACACTGAAATCCAACCTTTGCAATGCAAATGAAACCCTGTGAAGTAATCTTCCACCACCGAACCGTATAAGAAACCAACCTGCATGCCACAAATAAAAGAAGATCACCATTAGCATAAAGTTGGAGGAATGCTAGGCTCAGTCACCTCCCAAGCCGGTTACTACAAGCTCTTGATATATTGTACAACTGACACGTATCAACTTCTCACAATTGACTAAACTTGGCACAGTTCTTTTTTTTCGGAATAAGTAAGGTTTCAATAGATTAATTGTACTTGCCTCTTTACCCCATTTGGTGCCATCTTCATAAACACAAGAGGCTAGTAGTTGGATTTCATTTGGCTGTGCATTATTTCTCTGGATGAGCATATGATCAGGCTTGTTGATTTGGCGGACGGATTTGATGAACTCATTGGATGGACCAAAACATTGTCTAAGTTTCATTGCATCCCCGGCTGATCATTCAATAGTGAAACTAATTTAGTGGCCTAAAAAACGTATGAACGCATATAGTACAGACAAGTTCATAATTTTAATATATATGCTTATTAAACCAAATTAAGGTATTTCATTAAGTGAAATTGTATTTACCTTCACTAATGGAACTTTCACATAAGGACACCCTCTTGATGTAGTAGCCAGTACCACACACGCACGGCCCTCCAAGCCCATCATAACCTTTCCATAGCACCTATTTATATACAAGTTGTCGAGACCAATTCTAGTCAAAGATTATTATTATATGCATTTCTACATATGATATGACATGTAATTGATTAATGTAAAGTTTGGTCCTTGAGTTCTTATGTACCTTAAGTGCTGATCTCAGCTGACTGTCATAGATATCGTTGTTACTGATGTTGTGAAAATTTTGAGGGAATTGAACAAATGCTAGAGAGGGTGATATCTTGGGGTCAAGGTGGAAACACATTGCTTGCCGAGCCGAACTTGCATCATTGCAATGCATGTCACAATCTAAACCTAATATGTAAGGCGAATTACTTATAACTCCCGACACACGTAGCTGATCAAAACAACATCAACGTTACTTATCAAATAGTCTACTATGTAGGTAATTATGTCAAACTGTCAATCTGAATTATCAATTAATTGAATGAACTATTTTTTAAGACATAGTAGTTAATTGACAGCTAACTTGACAATATATAAGTAAGTAATACACATATATGGTAAGAGAATATTACTTAAAATCGACACATAAATAGAGGAAATTTTACAAAAGGAGAGA